ACAAAAATCACAATAGCATGAGGAAGATGAGGATTTCTCCAATCAGGAATTTTATGTAAGGAAAAAAATAGCTACAATATGAAATGTGAAAGCAACACTAAGTTTTTTTAAGCTGGTGCTGAGGTTTCTTTTCAGATGAGCTGCCCCAGGAATTAGATTTCAACATGGTCCCTTCCCCATTGCATGCTTCTTCTGATCTTCTTGTCCTTAACCTTCCAGTCTACCTTCACACAGATAGATTCTCTTCACAATATTTCATAAATAAAGCATAGAACACAGGTGAGGAACAGGATTTAAAACTGTCTAGAAGAAGGAGAGTGAGATGTGATGGAAGAGCTGATTCACTGCTCCAGGTTTACACTGGAGTAACCCCACTGAAATAAGGAATTTCACTCCTCCAAAACCACGACTTGGGTCAGGTTCAGCTGAATGATGGACTTTTGTATTCATTCAGAAGATTAAATGGAGTCTCCCATGTGTGCCTGTTTTTCAGCTGAATCCTGCACACCTCACATAGGCAAAACAACCTCTGCATTATGAGCAACATGATGACAGAACTGGACACTGAAGGACTAGACTGCATAGCACCACAGAATTTCAGAAAATATTGGCAAACTGGAAATAAAATATCTCCCTAATGACTTCATGAACTCGGCTCCAGTGGAAACTTTGCCTATATAAAGTTGATGGGATGAGGGATCTACATACAAATATTAAATTTATGTTACAGGGTGTAATTTGGCTTAAGAGGAATGTGCCTTTCATCTCTCCTGATTTCATTGAGTATTTTATTGCAATTCTTTCTTTATTAGTGGGAGAGCAAACCAGTATGTTTAAAATTGTTCCCACTGTTGTGAGTATAAACTTCCTGAAGATTTTAGCCTGTTTGCAAGAGATTGACTAAAATAAAGATTTTTTTTTTTTTAGGTCAACATTTTCTTCTGGCAGACTGAGCCTGAAGTGCACTTTATTTCCCTTTAATTTAACAGCTCCAGCAGCTTTTCCAGTTAAATCGACTGTTCATTATTGAGCCCATTTATGAAGGGCTGTGCAGTGCAGTTTAATGAATCCCTGGCACAAAGCTCCCTTTCAGTGTAGGGAAAGAATAGCAGCCTATTTAGGTCCTGTAGGGCTGTATGTCAAAGGCTGCCTATAATACTTGTCAGGGAAGGGCAGAAATTCCCACTGATATAAGAATGTGCAAGAAATCAACTTTCACAACCAACTCGCCGATTAAGACGCGATCAGGAAATGAGTCTGTAGGTTGGGAGCGGTGACACCTGTTTGGGCAGCCAGATTTTCCCATAACTTGATAACCATATGGGCCATACAACCAGGAAGGAGAAAAAAAAGCCCTCCCTCCCCTGTCGCAGAGATTTTCTTACTTCACGCTGCCTTCCTGATGCCACGATGAAAGGAAAATGGGTGTTGTGAATTGTGAGAGCTGGGCTCAGTGCTGGATTTGGTTTGCCTTCCCTAGGAGAAGGTTTTACTAGTGATCATAAAATCATGGAACAGTTTGGGTTGGAAAGGACTGAAAAGATCACCTGGTTCCAGCCTCCCTGCAGTGAGCAGGGACATCTTCAACAAGACCAAGTTGCTCAAAGCCTCATCCACCTGACCTTCAACACTTCCAGGGATGGGAAATCAACCACCTCTCTGGGCAACTTGTGCCAGTGTTTCACAACTTATCATAAAACCATTCTTCCTTATATCAGCCTGAATCTATTTCCTTTTGGTGATGAGGCACGGTGTGAGATGTTCCCTTCAGGCTGAATCCTGGTGGGATCCTGCCCCTGCGTGGCAGAGGATTTACCCTGGGGTTGGACACTGAGATGGGCAGCCCCATGGGCATCAGGAGGGCAGACAGAGCTTCTGCAACTAGCTCCAGTGAGGAGCTGCTCCACAGAAGTGCTGGCACTGTAACACGGCCCTCAACAACGCAAGGCTTCCTTGCTTGTGGAAACTGCTCTCCTTTCTGTCCAGCTTGGTCTGCAAGGAAAACAAATTGTTCTTCTTGTGAAGGGCTTGACTGCATGGCCATGAGCTCAATCTATGGCCAGAGCAAAGCCTTAGTGATCAGGGCATGCCCCTACTCCCTCTGATTCTCCAAGTGACTGTGCCCTGGTTCTCTAAAAAAGCCAATCTCGATGCCAAGGGCGTTACTCTCAGAAGCTTTGGTTCAACCCCCAGAGGGGGTTGAGATGCTGCTCCCTATAACAAGCATGAAAATGAACAAAACCAGATATATTTCCTACACAAAAGTGGACAAAAAAATAGCAGTAGAACCCCTGGAGCCCCTTAGTAAGCACTGAATGCTCTCCTGTGGGATGAAGGTTTGGGGAGGTGGAAGTAATTATGCAGCCACTTCACTCACCTCAGTCTCTTGGGGGTAAAGTGGAGGGAAAAGGACATCTGGTCAAAAATTTTGTCTGGGGTTGGGGGTATTTTGTGGGTCTAATCCCAGCATTTCCTGGACATCAGACCCTGCTAGTGAGCTGAGGTGGACAGCTGGGCCCGAGAGTCACCATGCGTGGGCTGAGCATCAGCATCCTCAAAGTGCACAGGTAGAAGACAAGCAGGCTCACACAGCTGCTGGAAAAGAGAGATGTTTTGCAGGAATAACCAAACTGCTATTTCCTTGGAAAAAAAATAAAAATAAAGTTTCTTTACAAGTTGTTGACATCATGTGGCTTAGCAAATTTCCCTCCAGGCATTGCCCAACTTGGGGTAATCAGCTCTGCCTGAAAGAACACGGAGAATAAGCATGTTTAATGCAATTATGAAGGCTTTCTAAATCTCCAGATCTGGTTGAGAATATGTAAATTCGGCTGCTTAGCACAACTGAATGCAAACGTTCCTTTGCATGCCTGACAATTGTTTTAATACTCTCTGAGTTTTAGGAGGTAATAAAGTCTCCCGCTAAACCGTAGCTGAGCTCTCAAAGCTGTTTAATTGAATGAATTCAGCCTTACAGAAGAGAAGCTGGGGCTTTCAGCTCTTTTTTATCTGAGCCACCGGATATTTAGCCACTCTGCATATAATACCACCCAGACTCATTAACAAACCCTTTAGACAAGCCATGGAATATTGCTGCTACGATGCTGAAGCAGATACTAATTTGAGGACAACTTTGTTGCCGCTCTATTTAAATAATTTTGTGTTGCTCAGATAAGAAGCAGTCTCAGACTGCCTGCACAGCCCATGAAGGATAGTGACCCCCATTTTCTAGACCCATGTGCAGTTCGAAGTGGCCTCACAGGGGATGCAAAACTATCTAGTGGAGCATACAGGGGATGTACATGTTGTTCTTTACATTTCCCCATCAATAAGGGAGATTGGAGCAGGCTGCAAAGCTTGACAGGGTTTGACAGGGCCTGAGGGTAGCAGCTCGGGCTGCTAATCCCTGTCAGTTGTATCTGAGCTAAGTAGTTTAAATCCACCTTCTATGTAGACATACTCATTCTGACATGGAGAGGTACATAAACTTCCCATAGCCCTCTGCCTACCAGTGGTTTTTGGCTTCAATTACACAGTTACACTCAAAGCAAGTGAGTTCCCAACTAAGAGACTCTGGGAGACTCCAGCTAAGCAAGTTTTGCAAAGGAGACCTAGTCCAGATGTGCCGGCACCAGAGCCAAGGCTGTGCCTGGGGCTGTGAGGTTCTGCCTGCTGCTGGGACCCTGCTGAGATGCTGGTGAGAGATCAAGAAAATCAGCCTTCTTGTTTTGTAGAAGATATTGAGCCTCCTTTTCTTCTCATGAAAGATGTGCTTTCTCCTCTTTTCTCCTTGCAATACTTGTTTTGTATTCAACAAGTGTTTCAAACCACAGTTAGGTGAATTTGGCTGGTTTTTCCATTTTACCACTAATTACAGTCCTAGAAGCCTGTCTCACTTTCCTTCTACAGTTTTTCTTTCTGCTTTTTCCTTCCAATACAAAAGTGCGGTATTTCTAATGAATTGATGCAGACCATGAAAACCCACTTATATTTATTTCCAAATCAGATATGGATCTTCATTCAAATTTGGACATACAAAATCACTGAACATAAATCTGCAGCTGTGTTGAGAGTTGTTCTGCATCAATGTAAGAGTTTTCTGAAGGCAAATTGAAATACCTTTTCCCCATAAAAAAGACAAGATCGTTCCTTCAGGAGCTGTTACCAGTACTTTAAGTAGCCACTTCACTAACTTTTCTACCCTCCATATGGAAGATATGTACTGCTGCTTCACTAAATCCGTGCGACACCGGAAGCATGGTGGTCTAGTGGAAGGTGTCCCTGCCCACTGTAGGGGAATTGGACACGATGATCTTTGAAGTCCCTTCCAATCCAAACCAATACATGATTCTGTGAATTTAACTCCATGCACCCCAGTCATTTGAAATCTCTACTGGATCACAGCTCTAGATTTTCTAAATACATGACTAGACAGAGAATATGCTATGTAATGTGCATAGCAATGAGCCTGGAAAAAAGCATCCTTTACAGATCAGTCTAAGTGTGTGTATCCTGGCGGCTGTCAGAGCAAGAGCATGTCCCCGTGCCCTTGCACCCCGAGCTGTGCAAGCGCCGGACCTCACCCCAGACAGAGGAACATGTTTTCTGCCTGAAAACATGAGCAGCTTCAGGAGCGGGGAACAAGACTGATGGGATCTGAAGGATGCCGTGCCCCTGCTCTGGGGTGCCAGCGTGTGTTTGGTCAGGGGATGCCTGTGCGCCTGTCCCGGGGTGCCTACGTACTCCTGTCCGGCGGGGTTGCGTATCTGTCCTTTGGCGGGTGTGCCCAAGACCTGGGGTGATGCTCGTCCCACCCGGGTCGGTCGGTCGGTCGGTGGGTGCGGCCAGCCCGGCCCGGGGCTGCCGGCGGGGAGGCGGGGAGGGCCGGGGCCAGCCCCGCTCTGATCCCTCCTCCTCCTCCTCCTCCTTCCCCGCCCGCCGCCTTTTCCCCGCTGCCGCTGCCGCCGCCCGCCGGGCGCATCCCAGCGGAGTCCGTCGGAACTCGGGGCGGCGGCGTTCGCCGCCGGCCATGGCCGTGCCCGCCGCGCTGCTCAGCCCCCACCACCTCCTCTCCTTCTGCTTCCCCGCCGCCGGCGGGCTCCTGGGCTATGCCGACCTGGAGAAGGGCTACGAGGGCGGCGGCGGCGACGCGGGGGACTTTAGAGAAGCCACCCGGGACCTGCTCAGCTTCATCGACTCGGCTTCCAGCAACATCAAGCTGGCGCTAGACCGGCCGGTGAAGTCCCGGCGGAAGGTGAACCATAGGAAGTACCTGCAGAAGCAGATCAAGCGCTGCACCGGCATCATCGCCGCCGCCCCGCCGCCGCCCGCCGCCTGCCCGCCCTCCGCCTGCCCCGCCCGGCCCCCGCCGCGCCGGGAGCCCGCGCAGGCGGCCGGCAGCAGCCTCCAGAGCAAGAGCCTGGCCGCCCTCTTCGGCTCCCTGCAGCGGGGCCGGGGCGCGGCGGGCGGCGCCGAGGCGAAGGCGGGCGGCGGCGGCGCGGGCGGCGGGGAGAAGGCGGCGGGCGGCCCGCGGAAGGTGCCGCTGCGGGACCGCAACCTGCCGCCCTCCTTCTTCACGGAGCCGGCGCTGCCCGGCCCCGCCGCCCGCGGGCCGCCCGCCAAGGAGCCGGAGAAGGGCGGCGGGGGCGCGGAGGCCACCGAGTTCTTCGAGCTGCTGTGCCCCGAGTACGGCGCGCTGCTGCCCGAGCACGCCGCCCCGACCGACGCCTTCGGCGGCCGCCTGCCCGCCGAGCTGGGGCTGGAGCACGGGCTGTACGAGCTGCCGCTGCCCGCCGGGCCGCACCCGCTGCTGGGCGGGCTGCTGTACCCCGAGCCGCCCTGGAGCCCGGCCGCACCCTGCAGCCCGCCCAGGAAGGCTCCGGCCGAGCCGCTGCGCCCGCTCTACCCCGGCGGTGCCGAGCCCGTGCCCGGCGGGGGCGGGGGCGAGGAGCCCGGCGGGCACCTGCCCGCGGGGGTCGCCCCCTTCTTCCCCGAGTGCCCGCTGCCCCCGCCGCAGCCGCCCTACGACTACGGCGGCGGGTACCACCGCGGGGGCTACCCCGGGCTGTAGGGCGGCCGGGGCTCCGGGGCCGCCCGGG